TAATAGATTTACCTAAAGTCACACAAATAACAAATAGTGCATATGAGATAGGACTTGGACTCAGAACTCATGACTCAATGCTTCCTTGGTTCTCAGACCTTCGTTTGGACCTTTGCTTCAGAAATCGTGCTGAGGCCCCTCCCACCTCTTTCTTCAGGTGGATCCCACAGGCCAGGTACGCAGAATCTTTTCCTTTACTGGGGAAAATGTTTGTCTTCTCTGCAGACAGCTTTGGACAGTCCCAGGTTGCTAGAGGCTGGCAGGTGGACTGGGAGGGCCAGAGCCTCAAGTCCCTTGGCCACTAGAGGGCAGCACACCGCCGGCTCCCAGAGGAATTCCCAGCAGCCGAACCTCACCCTCTGCCCAGCACTTCAGGACGCATAGGGGTCCCAAGGCTGAAAATGTACTTCCCTCGCCCAGAGCAAACAGAGCTACCGCCCTACCCCCACACAGCCTCTTCTGCAGGCAGAGGGCACTGTTCTGGAAGCTTCCAGCTGAGGAGAAGAGGGTGCCAGATCACTTACAAACACCTGAGCTTCTTACCATGAACACAAGCAGGTCAGCTGCCTGGTCCCCTGCCCTGGGGACTGGGAATGGGGTGGGATGCAATGGGAACTCTCTCCTCTCCGCCCCCCGCTGCTCTCCAGCTGGGTCCCTTTTTAACTGTCCAGGAGAAACTGTTAAAGGGGAATCGGCTCATGGCAGTGGCTGATCTTGTCTAGTGACCGCCATTTCATTCCACTGACTGCTGGAGCCAGAAGTCTGCTGTGAGACCCTCAGAAAGATCTGTGAGATGAATGTCGAATGGAGTCGCTCTACCCAAGCCAGCCCAGCTATGAGGGGAACAGGGTGACCACTCTCCTCTGTGCAAGGAGGCCCTTCCTAGAAACTCTCTTCGCCTCAGCAGCACCCTGGAGACCCCTTGGAGAAGGGAGTCGAGACCCGGGGCTGGTTAGGAGTTCACTCCCGTCTTCCCCTTCCCCTTCCCTCCTCAGGTCACACTGCCGGTGGGCAACACAGCTCCCGCTTTGTGACTGGGAAGGCAGGCTCACGGTGGTAAGTGACTGCAGTCCCTGAACACACAGGCTCTCTGCCAGGAGGGCAGCAGACAGAAGGCCACCTGAAGAGGGCACCCTGGAGGCTCCCTTCCATTGAGGAAGACTCACAGTGAAGACCATCAGAAGAGGCAGGAGCAGAAAAAGGAGAGAAAGAGCACCTGAAGGCCCGAGTGTGTAAGATGGGCCTCACCAGCACCTCGTTATYACCTATCACTGCCCCCATTTTACATGACACCCACCCCAGGGTCACAGAGAAAAACAGATTCAGGTCGGAACTTGACCCCAGAAGCCTTGGTGATTCCTTTGCCCCAGGCCTCCCCCTGGTGGTGGACGGGGAAGTGTGCAGAAGCCCTCTGMAGGCAACGGTGTCTTCCTGGTGCTGGATCCCTGTCATCACTGGGGACAGCTTTGCTGAGGTCGACTTTGTACCAATCCTGTAATAGGCCGCAGACTTACAGACGAGACGGAAACACAGGAGGCCTGGAGTTAAGCAGGGTTGAACAAGGCAAAGGTGACGAGTGTCCACGGTCAGACTCGAGAGGTGAGCAGGCCCGGAGACGGAGGGTGGTGGAGGGCGAGAGGGCATGGCCCATCAGGAAACCACCACAGCAAACGAGGAGGGTGGGCACGAGAGAGGAGCGACAGGGCTTGTCCCTCGAGTGTCCACAGGTTTGGCTCTCTTCTAGTGCTGGGGACCCGCGAGGAATGAGACAGTCTGCACCAATAAGTGCCCAGATGGGTGAGGTCCGCCCAGATAAGTCCTGAGGGAAAAAGTCAGGGCCAGGCCCATCGTTTCCAAGGGCACGGCAAAGCAGGACAGGGCGGAAGCTGGGACAACAAGCCTACTTCCTCCTGGTGGGCTGGAAGTCCAAGGTCAGGTGTGGGCAGGTTGCCTGGCCTGTAGAGGTCTCGTCCTTCCGGCGTCTTCCCCTGGTCTTCCCTGGGTCTGTGCCCCGATTTCCTCCTCTTATAGGGACAAGGCTCTTATTGGAGTAGGGCCCACCCCTGTGGCCTCAATTACTTCTTGAATACATCTGAAGTATTAAGGGTTAGGATATCACTACAAAATTTGGGGAGACACAGTGCAGCCCATAACACAAGGTGGTGAAATTGTGCATCACGGTAAAAACTCTGCCTCTAAAGGTGGTAATGTCCTCTTTGGAGGACACAATATGGCTCACACACAAGGTGATAAAACTGACAACCATGTCCCTGGCTGGGCTCTCCGATGATATGAGAAAGCAAACATTTCAAAACCTCCAGCAAGGATGTGATCTGCAGAGAGACCCACTTAGCTGGGAGGGTCGGAGCCTTCGAAAATACAGCTAGAGGGAGGGGAGGGAGGGACGGAGATCCGCTACCCGGGACAGTGTGGGGGCCGCTGAGACCGCGGGGAGCCGAGAGCCCAGAGAGGGGTGGGAGTTAGCCCAGGTGTCCAGGGGCATCGTGGGAGGGGCGAACCGCCTGTGGGAAGACGCTGGGTGAGGGGGGAGTGGCTCACTTGGCTCAGGGGCCCTCTGGCACACTCCAGGTCAGGAATGGGGAGAAGGGATAGGAGGGTGGGGTCAGGGCAGAKGCTGGCCCATGTACAGATGTGCCGTTAGGAGAACAAGGTTCAGTGACCTGTTATAGGGCATGGGGTGACAACGATGTACTGTTGACTCAGTCTGTTAGGACAGAACGCTGTGGGTCATTAATAGAAAACCAATGTGTTCTGTCACAGTTCTAGAGGACGGACAGTCCACGACGGAGGCGGCAGCAGGTCAGGGCCCGGGCTCTCTGCCTCCACGCTGTGCCCTGCTGTGCCACCCCAGGGAAGGAGCAGGAGCAGGAGAGGGCTCCTGGGCAGCCTTCCTACAGTGCAGAGTCCTGCGCCCCGTCACCAGGCTTACTCCCCAGTGCTGCCACGCTGGGGACTAGGTCTGGAAAGGAAACCAGACCCTGGAAACTACACCTCCAAAGGAGTAGAGTTCTTACCACAAAAATAAAGGGTGGACGACGTGACGGATGTTAATTAACTGTATCTRATCATTCCACAATACAGACAGAGACACTGGCGATGATGATATTTATGATTAATAGTGAATTAAAAGTCTCTATGAAGAATCAGTGAGAAGGTCAGGGTGGCTAGAGTGCAGAAGGCGACCCAGGCCGGGGCCTGTGATGGCTGGCCCTCACTTTGGCGTGGGAGACCAGTGAGAATGCTGAGAAGACGGCACGGCGGGCTTGGTTTAAAGCAACACCATGTGGGGAGGGAACGGGGGCGGAAACAAGGAAATCTTAACAAGTCGTCAATTTTGGATCTAGTTCGAAGAGAAATGACAACAGGCATTTTGTCAGCTTTCTGCTGCTGTGACAAAATACCTGAGAAAAACTACTTAGAGGAAAGATTTATTTTGGCTCATGATTTCAGAGTCTTCACTTCATGGTCACTTGGTCCCATCACTACGAGCCTGTGGTGAGGCAGATCATCACGGCAGGCAACACACGGCAGAACAGAGCTGTCCACCTCATGAAGGCCAGAGCGAGGCAGGGACAAGATACACCCTACAAGAACACACGTCCAGTGACCTCCTTCCTCCAACTAGTCTCCAACTCCTAGTTTCCACAACCTTCTAACAGCATTAGCAGCTACAGACTAAGCCTTCAACACAGGAGCCTGTGTGGGACATCCTGGGTCCAAACTGTCACAGGGCTCATGGATACACTAGATGAGGACTCAATGCCTAAGCGACTGTGTGAACAGTGTGTAATTCATCCCCAGGAGGAAAACTGGAAGCAGGAGGTTTGAAAAGGGCTGAGAATTGAGAGCTTACTGTGGGCCACGGGAGTTTGGTGCATATTAATATCTTCAATATCGAAGCAGAGATGTTGAGTAGTCCATCAGAAATGAGACTGGAATTCAGGGGGAAAGGCCTAGAAACATAGGCATGGCGGCGCACACCTGTCATCCCAGCAGCGAGGGAGGCTGAGGCAGGAGGATCACAAGTTCAAAGCCAGCCCCAGCAACTTCGTGAGGCCCTAAGCACAATATTTAAAAACTATGGAAACACTTGAGGTCATCCAGAGGGTCAGTCTAGGAGAAAAGGTAGAACAAAGTCCAGAAGTCCAGGAACCCCCCAACACTTAAGGTATCAGAAAAGTATAGATTCACCAAAAATAGAGAAGTTGAGAAACTGGAGGAAAACCAAGAGTATTTTCCACCAAAGGCAAATGAAGAAGACATTCCAAGAATGCCGATGAGAAGAAATCTGAAAATTGGCTGTGGGATTTATCCACCGAGGTCCATAATGGTGGACCACGCCTGTTTCCAGGCGGAGCTGAGGGTAAGGGTCTCATCATAGCTAGTTCAAGGAAAAACGGCAGATTCAAAGACGTGGAGAAAGAGTCAGACGGGATTTCCACAGCATACCTGTAGCTAAGGGGAATAACTGGTAAGAGGAGAAAACTGACGATGAGAAGAGGGGTGATCACAGGAGGGGTGCAGGGGTGGCTCATCCTGCCTCGGGCCCAGTCCTCCTGACTGTGGGGCTCTCCCAGGGAAACAGACACACCACCCACCAGTGGGGAGGGGGGCTCCTGCAGGTGGAGGGGGGGAGCTGTGGCGAGGCCCTGACCACCTGACTGACAGACTCAGGGACACAGGGGACAGGAAGCGGGGACGCACTCCTGGTCGGCCCCTGGGTGGGTGGCGAAGGAGAGGTGTGGGAGGAGAGGAGTCTGAAGGGGGAGCAGGACAAGGAGAAGAACAGAACCCAGGTCCCAAATCAACCCATTTCTACAGGGTCATCATGTCTGGCCTGGGTCACAAGCACAAGCTTAGAAACGAAGCCACAAATTAGACAAAACCCTTGGTCTCCACATTATGCCCTTTTTTCTTTCAGAAAGCGGCCTCACCAGAGGGGGGGAGGAAACACACCAAGTGGAGGCGTGGTATGAAGACATTTTATTCAGACATCAACTGGTCCGAGTCGGTCACTCCTCACTCCCCACGGCCTGTGCCTGGGAGCAGAGGGCGTGATATTTCTCTGGGCTTAAGGTGTAGGCTGACATGGCCTTCAAGAACTGGTCCAGCGGGCAGAGTCTGTCGGGGCAACCTCTTGGCACCTGCTCCTGTGGAAGAGACGTGGCTCAGCAGCCCCCAGGGCCAGGCCCTTCTGCTGCCTTTGGGGAGCCCCGCCATCTGAGAGGCTCTGGCCCCGCGGCACACACACGTAACACTCAGAAGGCCCCATACCCAGTCACAGCCAGAACACTCCACTACAGCCCGCTTACAAAGGCCACTCGAGAAAGGTCATTGAGCTGACTGAGAGGACACAGTCAAGTGACATCACTGAGCTGGAGAAGCCAAAGGTCTCATCCCTGGGAGAGCTTTGGTCCCTTTTCTCAGCATCGATGTCGACAGGCCGTTAGCAAGTCAAGGGTGCTGGCAGTGCCCGCGACCTCCCAAAGACCCAGCCGTGCATGTTCAAGAGGCTCCCGGTCAGGAGGCTGCGTCCCGACAGTCTCTTGGGAGAAGAGCAGGAGCGGCTCTGTTCCTGGAACGAGTCTGCAGACCAGGATCAGGACCACGTCCCACCACAGGCCAAGATCTGCTCTAGCCCTGGGCACAGCTGTGAGTCGCCCACGGGGTGCAGGGAGCTGAGGGCACCCAGGGAGACTCCACGGGGCCTGGTGCTGACCCAGCCAGGGGCACTGGGGAGGGCCCGGCCACCACTCGGTCCCAGCTGCGAGGTCTCACCTCCCCGTTGTAATAGAGCTGCACAAACCACTCCTTCGATGGCTGGTGCTGGTAGAGTTCCACGGTCAGGTCGGCAGCAAACGGGGGCCACTTGTGGTCAAAAATCCCCAGGGTCATTAAGAGAGGGATGAGGGTCACATCGTGAGTTGCATAGAGGTGTAGCTTTCTGAAAGAAGGAAACAGTTCCCTGTCATGTCTACTTCACAACTCGGGAGGCCCAGGGGTCCAGGTCCTATGAAAGTGGCTACAGAAGCTCATTTTAAGGACCTTATGGACATCACATCTCTGTTGGTGGAGTCACGCTGTTCAAGCTGAATCTACCAGGCCCGTACCTCTGGTCGGACTTCTGAAATACCGCGGGCTTCACACTGCTGCCTGTCTCCCTGGAGTAAGGAACACACYGGCCTCAGAAACCAGGTGACATCTAGCTCAGCTGCACTGAAACAGGAGGGGGACCACAGTCCACGCCTCTTGTCACCAGGGGAGGTCCCACTGGGATCACTCTCCTGGCCTCCTCCTGGTGAGTCTTAAGGAAGGAACTGAGCTGGTGTGGTTAGACCCTCGTGGGATCCTGCCAGGCCGCAGGGAGGGTCTTCCCACTCTCGCCACACGGCGGTCAGTGAGAGCCTCTGCTCCTGGCTGGGAAAGCCTGCAGTTAGGGACTGAGCTCATTTCACCCTAGTCTCCCAGTGGCCATTCAACCTACTTCTGACTGACGCAGTGTCATCTCCTGGGGTGGGCTGGGGATCTTGTTTACTGACCCCAATGCAGAAGCCTAGCACTAGATCCTGTAGTGTTCTACAGACACAAGGAGAGAGCATCAAGCAGCTCAGAGTTAGGGATCACGTTCAAGGGAGCCTGTCACATGCTCCTCCAGAGCCAAGGTGCACAGTTAGGGATCACGTTCAAGGGAGCCTGTCACATGCTCCTCCAGAGCCAAGGGGCACAGTTAGGGATCACGTTCAAGGGAGCCTGTCACATGCTCCTCCAGAGCCAAGGGGCACACAGAGTTAGGGATCTTGTTGAAATGTAGATTCTGCTCAGCAGGTCAGGCCTGAATACCTGACAAGCTCCTGGGTGATGATGAAGCTCTGACTGCAGATCACACTTTGATCGGCAGACGCCTAGGACACACAGCACTCCAGACCTGTGGTCCTGACCTGGGTGCCAGGCCCTGCAAAAGTGGAAGCTCATGGGTCATTTCCAACTTTCTAAAATGCCTGTGGATATCACTCCTTCTTAGCCGTTCAAACTACATCTATTACACAATTATATTTTAAACTATTAAAGTACCAAATTGGGGCTGGGGTTGTAGCTAGGTGGAAGAGCGCTTGCCTAGGGTGTGTGAGGCCCTGGGTTTGATCCTTAGCACCACATAGAAATAAATAAATAAAGGTGTTGTGTCCATCTATAACTAAAAATAAACAAATAAAATAAAATTCCAAATCAGTGTGATATAAACATGTCTGTTGAAAGACAAACAGTTAAAAAAATGGGAAAATGAATTTAGGGCTCTTTTTGGCTAAACTAAAAATTTCAAAACCCAGTCAGAAGGATCTAGCAGGAAGAAGGTGGAAAAGGCTGTGAGCCTCGCTGGACACCTCCCTGCAGCTGCGGACGGCCTGGGGGTGGCCCCTCTGGGGAACTGCCTCCGGCTGCTCTYGGCAGAGTGGGGCTGCTGTGCTAGTACCTCCTCTGGCTGGGCGGAGTGGCAGGGTCCACCGCGGTCAGCAGGCTGCTCTCCAGGATGTGCAGGAAGGGGCCCACTGCCATCTGAAGGCCTTCCCTAGGAAGAGCAGAAGCAGGTCAGACACCGGCACCCAGTCAGCACTCAGGGGACGCAGGCTGGCCCTGCCCTGTAGGGCCTCAGGAGCCCAACTGGATGGGCCAAGAAAAAGACAAGCAGAGCAGGAGGGACAGCAGGCGGGAGGACAAATGGTGCCACCTGCAGCTGGGGGTCCCTGTGGACAAAGACTGCCACAACTGAAGCTGGGTGCAGAGCGCTAGGAGCACAGCTGAGACGGGAGGGCTGGGGAGGGGCAGTGGTGACGGGGTCCATCATGGGGAAGGAGGCCGTGAAGAGCAGAAGAGCCACACGGAGAAGGACGGATGACGGCTTCCAGGCATTCCAGAGGGCCTGGAGGAGTGGGCGCGAGGGAGCCACCTCCCAAGTGTGTTCCTGCTGTCAGCTCTCTCCTGTTGTGCTTGAGGCCAGAGGGACACTTCTTATTCACGTCTATCAGTTGACTTAGTCCCAGGGCGGGCTCTGCAGCTCCACCGTCTTCATTCTGTGGCTTATTACCTCACAGTCCTCGGGCAGCTACTGACGGGCACACCACATCCTCTCCCAGCTGTGAGCACAGCAGGAGGAGGGGCTGGCAAGCGCTGTGTGCCTCTCTGTTTTTACCAAGGAGAAAACACCACCTCCTCTCCTCCAACTCCCAGAACCCCACCGCTGACGGAGGGGACCAGGGAGTCCCGTGACCATCCCTACTCATGGAGACTTCACAATCAAGAAACGACGGAGCAGCGGATGGAGAGAGGTGACCAACACTGTGGTGACAGGCACCTCCAGGAGAACGTGGACAGGCCAAGCCAAGCTGGACTGGAAGTTGTGACCATTTGTCCCTGAAGACACATCGGTTCTGAAACCAGGGCCAAGGGAACAGAAAGGACAGTGGACAAGGAGAGACTAACGAAGGTTCGGCCCCATCAGACCTGCCTGCTGTTCTGTTAATAAAGTCGACTGGGGGCCGGGCTGGGGCTCAGTGGCAGAGCGCTTGCCTGGCACGTGAGGCACTGGGTTCCATCCTCAGCACCACGTAAAAATAAAATAAAGGCAGTGTGTCCATCTACTAGAAAAAGCATTTCTTAAAAAAAGTCTACTGGAACCTAAGTGTGCCCCTTCTGTTACATGTCACCACAGCTGCTTCCCGCTGTAAGGGTGAGAAATGGCTGGGTGGCGGGACAGCACAGTCATTAACATGCCTATGGACAGTGAGTGATAGTTTGAGGTAGCAGCATCGCTTCATGAAAAAAGAGGAGGCTGGCAAGTTCCAGGGAGGGGCGGCCAAGTGAGTGGCTTGGCTGGAACCTTCTGGATGCCTGAGGCTGGCGCACGAGTGGACGTGTGACTCAGGGTGAACGCAGGCAGCATCTTCACACCACAGAGAACACTCGACCTTTGGGTTTTGAGGGTTTTGAGGGTTGGCTTGTTTCACTTAGCACGACAGTCTCAAGATGTATCCACTGGCAAACGTCAAAAAGCCATTCTGCTCTATGGTGAGTGACACTGTGTTGAGAATGAGTCACACTCCATGTTTGTGTAAGTACATCAAAATATACTGTCATGTCAAACAAGAAATAGCAGGTCGGTGCGGTCAGGGCCTCTGAGGCCGCACACTGGGCAAACCCTTGGAATGCCAGCTGCCCCGTCTTCCTGAGGACCCTCCTCCGCTGCCCACTCCCCCACGAAGCCACTTATTCTGAGGATAAGCCGAATGCTCTTATTCTAACAGAAAAAAGAGGCTTCTGACATTTGTAAGAGGGCAGCCTTTCCTCTTGGTGGCCAAGAAGCAGCCTTCTACCAACAGCATCCCACCAGCAGGAAGAGAAAGAGCAGACGCAGGCCTGTCCGTCAGAGGGCGGTCCGAGTCCTGGCTCTGCCACGCACCAGCTCAGCTCAGGCAGGGCTGCCGACACTCAGCCCCAGCTTCCTCCCCCACCTGACGGTGAGAAGATGACACTCGTGTGTAAAGTGTCACATGATGAAGAAAGTGAGAAATACATTCTTCCATCAGCTTCCACACCTCCCACTAAATCTTTGGAACCTTGGAACACAGGAAAAAGGGAGTGTCTGAGACACTCAGCAGGTGGGGCTCTGTATTCTTTGTAACCAGGTGGAGGCCCCAGGTCACCAGCCCGGATCCGAAGCGTCAGGACCTGGGAAGGCCGCAGTGAGCAGGGCTGTCTCCCAGGCCACGGTGGTGCCAGCAGACGGTGTGAGCAGGCCTGAAGGGCCCCCTTCCCACACACTCGGAGGTCCGACCAAGGTGACTCTGCGCCAGCAGCTGCAGAGGCCACTCACCTGTCTTCCAGCTGTAGGACGTACAAGGCCGTGTCCACGGCCCTCTGCTCAACCACCTGGGCGAATCTCTGCAGAGTGGGGCAGCTCGAGAGGCTGTGTGCCTGCAAGGAGCACAGGCAGCATTTCAGATCACGGCTTCTGCCCCCAGCCTGGCAGCTGCTCGGCTCCCGCGGAGGCTGCAAGGACCTGTCTTCTGGGAAGGGGCTGAAYAGCTCAAAAAGCCCTGCCCCCAAGTCCTTCCAAAGCCATGCCCTCCTGGAGGGCTGAAGAGCCGGCATCGAAAACGTTTTCCTCCATTTCTGATGGCTCCCATCCACTCCACGTTTTTTTTTTTTAATTTTATTTTTTAAATTTAAAAAAGAAACAAACACCAAGGCAAGGGATTCACAACTTTCCACTTGCCTTTCATTTTCCCTAAAATGCTTTCTGAAGATTTGCCATACAGATGCTCTACGGGAGCTCTCGCCTAAGACCTCAGCCCACTGCACCTGAGCACAGGTGCGTCTGTGCCTCTGCGGCATGAGGTCATTTTCACAAGAGAAGGAAGGAGGCTCCTACGCTGCCACGGTGTCCGACTTCTGAATCTAGAGAGATAATTCCCACGTGTGATTTTCTTTATGTATTCATTACACAAAAGAGATCCTATGGCTAGATTAGTTGGAGAAAAACAGACTTAAAGATTAACTGGGGGCGGGGGAAAAAAATTAACTGGAGGCCAGGCCGCAGTGGCGCACTCCTATAATCCCAGCAGCTCAGGAGGCTGAGACAGGAGGATCGTGAGTTCAAAGCCAGCCTCAGCAATGGGAGGCACTAAGCAACTCAGTGAGACTGTATTTCTAAATAAGATATAGAAAATAGGGCTGGGGATGTGACTCAGAGTTCAAGTGTCCCTCAGTTCAATCCCCGGTAATTCCCCCACCCTGAAAAACAAAAGATTAACCAGAGTTGTTTTTTTTTTTCTTTTTCTTTTTTTTTTTTTTTTGTGTGTGTATGTGTGTGTGTGGTGCTAGGGACTGAACCCAGGGCAGCAGGGCCTTGTGCATGAGAGGCAAGCACTCTACCAAAGGAGCTCTAGCTCTAGCCCCAGAGTTCTTTACTATGGCCTTCTCAGATTTTTACTATGATGATATGCATATACTCTTCAAAAAAGGTAGAATAAATAAGGACCCAAAAGTTTTAGATCTTAGCAGATACTGACTGAATGTAAAAATTGAGCACCCTGGGCTGGGGTTGTGGCTCAGCGCGTCTAGCATGCGCAGGGACGTGGGTTCAATCTTCAGCCCCACATAAAAATAAATAAATAAAATAGATGTGTTATTAAAAAAAATTGAGCACCCCTCCCTACCCAGAATCCTCCCTACTCATCACCCACTCGACCCCTACTCTCCCAAACATACACACACACACACACACACCCCAGGTATTCTAAACAAGTTTCAAAAAACTAATCTAGAGCTGGATGTCTGCACTCCTGACTGCTCTAGAGCTGGATGTCCATACTCCTGACTGATCTAGAGCAGGATGTCTGCACTCCTGACTGATCTAGAGCTGGATATCTGTACTCCTAACTGATCTAGAGTCGGATGTCTATACCCCTGACTGATCTAGAGCTGGATGTCTATATTCCTGACTGATCTAGAGCTGGATGTCTATATCCCTGACTGATCTAGGGTTGGATGTCCGTACTCCTGACTGATCTAGAGCCAGATGTCAGTACCCCTAACTGATTTAGAGCTGGATGTCTGTACTCCTAACTGATCTAGAGCTGGATAGCTATACTCCTGACTGACCTAGGGTTGGATGTCTGTGCTCCTGGCTGATCTAGAGCTGGATGTCTACACTCCTGACTGATCTAGAGCGGGATGTCTGCACTCCTGGCTGATCTAGAGCAGGATGTCTATATTCCTGGCTGATCTAGAGCGGGATGTCTGCACTCCTGGCT